AGAGACAGCTGTCACACACACAGAGAGACAGCTGTCACACACACAGAGACAGCTGTCACACACACACAGAGACAGCTGTCACACACACACAGAGACAGCTGTCACACACACACAGAGACAGCTGTCACACACACACAGAGACAGCTGTCACACACACACAGACAGCTGTCACACACAGAGACAGCTGTCACACACACAGAGAGACAGCTGTCACACACACACAGAGACAGCTGTCACACACACAGAGAGACAGCTGTCACACACACACAGAGACAGCTGTCACACACACAGAGACAGCTGTCACACACACAGAGACAGCTGTCACACACACACAGAGACAGCTGTCACACACACACAGAGACAGCTGTCACACACACACAGAGACAGCTGTCACACACACACAGAGACAACTGTCACACACAGAGACAGCTGTCACACACAGAGACAGCTGTCACACACACACAGAGACAGCTGTCACACACACACAGAGACAGCTGTCACACACACACAGAGACAGCTGTCACACACACACAGAGACAGCTGTCACACACACACAGAGACAGCTGTCACACACACACAGAGACAGCTGTCACACACAGAGACAGCTGTCACACACACAGAGAGACAGCTGTCACACACACACAGAGACAGCTGTCACACACACAGAGAGACAGCTGTCACACACACACAGAGACAGCTGTCACACACACAGAGACAGCTGTCACACACACAGAGACAGCTGTCACACACACACAGAGACAGCTGTCACACACACACAGAGACAGCTGTCACACACACACAGAGACAGCTGTCACACACACACACACAGACAGCTGTCACACACACACACAGAGACAGCTGTCACACACACACAGAGACAGCTGTCACACACACAGAGACAGCTGTCACACACACAGAGAGACAGCTGTCACACACACACAGAGACAGCTGTCACACACAGAAACAGCTGTCACACACACACAGAAACAGCTGTCACACACACACAGAAACAGCTGTCACACACACACAGAGACAGCTGTCACACACACACAGAGACAGCTGTCACACACACACACAGAGACAGCTGTCACACACACACAGAGACAGCTGTCACACACACACACAGAGAGCTATCACACACACAGAGACAGCTGTCACACACACACAGAGACAGCTGTCACACACACACACAGAGAGCTATCACACACACAGAGACAGCTGTCACACACACACAGAGACAGCTGTCACACACACAGAGACAGCTGTCACACACACACAGAGACAGCTGTCACACACACACAGAGACAGCTGTCACACACACACAGAGACAGCTGTCACACACACACACACAGACAGCTGTCACACACACACACAGAGACAGCTGTCACACACACACAGAGACAGCTGTCACACACACAGAGACAGCTGTCACACACACAGAGAGACAGCTGTCACACACACACAGAGACAGCTGTCACACACAGAAACAGCTGTCACACACACACAGAAACAGCTGTCACACACACACAGAAACAGCTGTCACACACACACAGAGACAGCTGTCACACACACACAGAGACAGCTGTCACACACACACACAGAGACAGCTGTCACACACACACAGAGACAGCTGTCACACACACACACAGAGAGCTATCACACACACAGAGACAGCTGTCACACACACACAGAGACAGCTGTCACACACACACACAGAGAGCTATCACACACACAGAGACAGCTGTCACACACACACAGAGACAGCTGTCACACACACAGAGACAGCTGTGCTCCTTGTCCAATCACTGCCACCACCACCAACATCCCCATCACCACCGCCACCACCACCACCATCACCACCACCACCATCATCACCACCACCATCACCACCATCACCACCACCATCACGACCACCACCATCACCACCACCACCATCACCACCACCACCACCACCATCACCACCACCACCATCACCGCCACCACCACCATCACCACCACCATCACCACCACCATCACCACCAGCACCACGGAGAGAGAGAGATACTCCAAATATACAGCTGCAGCAGGCATCGTCAGGGTAGGGATCGAACCCACGACCTCCTGCACACCAGGCGAGGTAGTCAACATCTCATAGCCACCGTGATGATGATGATGAGAGAGAGAGAGAGACGCAGAGACACAGAGAGACAGAGACACAGAGAGACAGAGAAACAGACAGACAGAGAAACAGACACAGAGAGACAGACACAGAGAGACAGACACAGAGAGACAGACACAGAGAGACGGACACAGAGAGACAGAGACAGAGAGACAGACACAGAGAGACAGACACAGAGAGACAGAGAAACAGACACAGAGAGACAGACACAGAGAGACAGACACAGAGAGACAGACACAGAGAGACAGACACAGAGAGACAGACACAGAGAGACAGACACAGAGAGACAGACACAGACAGATAGACACAGAGACATAGAGAGACAGACACAGAGAGACAGAC